CATTTCTGTATAAAAGTTGAGAATGAAATTGTCAGGAACTACCAAAAAAAGCCTGTTGGAGTTTTGATTTGTGTATTTTAAAATCTATAGATCAGTGTGGGATGATTGATACCTCAGCGGAATTTCCAGTTTGAACACAGCACACCTTTGCATTTATGAAGGCATTTGTTAATTTCTTCAGCAACCTTTAGTTTTCAATGTACAAATGTTGCTCCTCCTTGGTTAAATTTATTATCCGTTTGTTTAATTCTTTAATTTCTTGCAGCTTTTGTATAGTTTTAGTATCCAGTGAGCCCTTGACTTGTATCAGAACATGGGTGTGCCTGCATTCTGGAGTGTCAGAATTGGGCTATTTGGAGATAAATATACGCACACATGTATTTATTTTAATGTCTCATCACACATTCATACAAAATACGTTGGAAGAAGAAAAAGTAGCTAAAAATCCTCAGAGCAGGAGCTTGGGATTTCAGAAGGCTTCTGAGTGGGAGCCCTGAGTTTGCCCTATGACTGCGTCAGTTTGGGATTGACCTTCAAACAATGGTCTGTTCTTGTTTTCCGTAGTTGGCCCTGATGAGGGTCGGATGAGGGTCTGTGTGAGGAGGAGGTAAAATGTTCAAGCCCGTCTTGTGACCATCAATAATTTGCAGGCACTGAAGTTGTTCAGAAACTAACTGTTCCCCACTCAGTTACCAGCAGGGAGAGTGATAGGTTTTCCTGAGGTGATGCAGACAGGCCGTGCCCCCTCCAGCCGTCCTCTCAGGCCTTCAGATCAGAAAGGCAGCTCCCTTGTGCAGACAGGGCCTGCATCTTGGGTTTGATGGGTGTGCTGGATGGATACCAGTGTGTCTTCTCTGTGCACAGGGCCTGGTACAGATCCCACTCACTACAGGAGCTGCACTCCCTGTCCCCAGCTGGCCACACAGTAGGTTGTAGAGGGGCCCAGGGCCTGGATGCAGACCCCATCTGCTACAGGAGCTGTACGCCCTGCCCCAGGTGGCCAAACGGTGGGCTGTAGAGGGGCCCAGGGCCTGGATGTAGACCCCACCATGGCTGCTTGGCTGACTGTGAGGACCAAGCCCCACTTGTGGGCAGGGGGTGTGGCAGCAACCGCTGGATTCTTGGTCTGCTGTGCTCTGCAGACCAGGGTTGAGCCTGCTGGGATTTAGAGAGGTTGGTGTGGCACCTCTGTCCCTCCTCAGCTGCCCTGCCCCATGGTCACCACCTGGCACTCGGGGTAGTAGGAGCCGTGGATGAGTAGGGAGCTGGCAGGAGCTGGGGGAGTCTAGGGTGAACTCCCCACTCTGGCCTAGCTGACCATGCTATCCTTGAACCCGTGGTGCCCAGAGGCCCTTGGGAGCCATGTGGGGCAGAGCAGGCATATCCCTGGGCCTGGAGAGATTGGTGGGTTCCAGCCTGTCTGACAGAGGCAGTCCTGAAGGCATGAGTCTGCATCCTCTAGCTGGAGGTGAGGTCCCACTCAGCCACTGCTCAGACCATTCCCTTTCAGGAGGCTTTCTTTAAAGGGATTTTAGTGACCGTATTTTAGAAAAGATAAAATACACCCACCCCTTAGTTCTCTTACATTACTGCACAGACTTACTTTCTTTTCAATGCTGTGTACACCTGCAGTATCCTTCCCGGTTAGCTCAGGGCTGAGTTGCAGGAAGAGTCTGGGGTCTGGGGCCCTCAGGACCTCTAAGGAGAATATCTCCATGGGATGCTGCAGCAGAGAGCTATGAGAACCTGACTTGTGTGACGCCCCTGAGATGCATGGGTAC